TTTGCCGAGAGGACGGCGGCGAGGGCCTTGGCAGCCGAGGCGGGCCTCACCACGCCAGCCTCAGCCCCGCTCGAGAAGGGGGCGGCCAGCTTCGATGTCGTCTGGGACGGGTCCTTCTTCGATTCGCTGCGGGGTGGTTGCCTCGAGTGCGAGGGCGCAGGGAAGCAGGAGCTGCGCCAGCTGAAAGAGGACCTGGTCGCGGCCAGGTCCTACCTCGGCGAGGAGGGCGGCAGGGTGCAAGAGTGGCACTCGCGCATGGTGGCCTCGAAGACTGAGCTGTCCACGAGGATGGCCAAGCAGCGCAAGGGCGCCGACGGCGCGCCGCAGGCAGCGGGCGAGCCAGGTGGCGGCGAGGGCGCAGCCAGGACGTCGACGGAGACGGAGCCCGCGATGACTGACATGACGGCGGGGGGGGAGCCACCGATAGCGGCCCAGGAGCGCATGGACGCAGAGATCGCGCGCATGCGCAGCGCCAAGGCGGCCGCGGCGCAGGCGGCGGCCGCCACCGCTGCCCAAGCCTCGCAGGCGGCCCAGGCGGCAGCGGCCAAGGGCGGCGGGTGCGGCGGCGGCGCGGCGGCCGCCAGCGCGCGAGGCCACATGGCCCCTGCAGCGCCCCGCCCTCAGCAGCGAGGGGATGCAGGGGCCAGGGCTTTACCAGAGTCGGCAGCCCCCTCGGCCGACGCTCGCGAGGGCGCAGGGCGCGCTTCGCCAGCGGCAGCGTGCTCGACGGCGGCGGCAGCCGCTACGGGGTGCCATGCGGGCCAGGATCTGAGCAGCCTCAGCTTGGTTCGAGCGGCGCGCTGGCGGGCGACGCTGCAGCTGCAGCCCAGCCATCTTCGTCGTCGGAGGACAACGAAGTGGTCCAGATATGTTTTCGAGTGTTACACATCTTGGTCGAACGGCGAGGGGCCACCTGATGCATCCTGCCGTCAATCGAGCATTGAGACATTTAGCCGCAGGTGAGACGCGCGCTGGAAGTTCGGCCAATGCATGGGGCATGCTGGCACGCCAGCACAGACGCATATCTCTGTCCAATGCTGCTCGCGGCACGGGGGCTCGGCGTCGCACTGAGTCGGGTAAGCTCCGAGCGACGGATGGCGGAGGTATGTTTTTATATTAAAAAAAATCGTGCAGGGCCATGGGCAGGTGCATGGCCTGCGCGGCGGTCGCTCCGGGGAGCTGCGCGCCGATGGACAGAAGCGGTTGGATGGTTTTTCGTTTTGCCAGTTATGGTCCACCAGCATGGCTATAGCATAGTGGTCGTTGTCATGCACAGCAGATGTAGCACGGGCATGGTTGCTGCAAATATTGTTAGATTCGCTCGGCTCGGCATTCTTATAGTGGCCCTGCAACTCCCATGGGTTGTTTCGAGTGGTGTTAGCGCTCCCTCGCCTGAGTTTCAGCGCGCGGGCTTCCCGTCGAACATCGGGGCGTCAGCGCTGCAGGCCCTTGCCGAGAGCACTTGTGTAGGGGCCGAAGGGGCGCCCCATTGACTACGCGTTCGTTCCCAGAGCGGCCGCCCCTTATGTCTCGGAGCTCCAGGCGATTCAGGGCGCCCTTTTGGAAGCCGCGCTGCGGTTTAGGTTTGCAAATCAGAGGGGCCTGCGAGCAGTTGGTTGCCCGTTCCCTTATCTTGCCCCAGCGCATGGCCCGGGTCTCTCGCCCGCAGCAGCAGGGGGCCCCAGGCTCGAAGTCTCCCCAGGCGCGTCGTTCGCAGGTGGTGCGCCCGCGCCTCGCCCGCGAAAAGCCAGTGGATCGCGCCGCGCAGTTGTTCGGAGATCTTCTCGAAGACTCGAAGGCAAGTCAGCATGCCGTTCCCGCGCAGGGGCAGGCTCAGGCATTAGCGCCGCGCCCCCTGAGGCGCCCCCTGGCGGCCTCGCGCAAGGGGGGGGGGGGGGGGCGTCGCGCAGGTTGCTGGGGCGATGAGGTGGGCCCCTGGGCCGAAGAGTCCGATTTTGACCAACCCATCCGCCCCCCCTCTGTTCCCCCCCCTTCTCTCTTCTCCCCTCGCGGGGCGGCGGGGCCCAGGGCCCTTGCCTCGGAGCTGATCTCGCGCAGCGTAGGGGGTGGCCCCATGAATTCTCGCGACCCAGCTCCAGCCGCGAACGAAGCCCCGAAAGACTCTGTCGAGGCCCTCCCTGGCGAGAGCGGCCCTGGGCAAGAGGCGGCAGGTCAATCCGATCCGCGCGGCGGCGCCCCCACCGTTCCCACTCCCCCCGCTGCCCCTGCTTTTGCTCTCCTTCCCGACCGCCGGCGTTTGACTCGGGCCCGCTCGGGCTTCCACATGCGCGCTCCCGACCGAGTCGGGGCACCCATCCGCGTCTCGATCTCGCGTGATGTGGGGGGGGCGCACGTCCTCGGCGTGAGCGGCGCCTTTCATGCTTGGACTGCCGCGGTTGAGTTGGTGCGTCACGGGCAGGCAGGGGCGGGCAAACCTTGTTAGACTGGGCAGCCCTCGCGTCGCGACAGTCCGCGCACGCGGGTCGAGACGGCGCGTCATTCCCGGCATCGTCGCGATATGCCGTCCAGGGATGTGATAGCCAACTGGTGGGAGAGAGCACATGCGGCGTCAAGCAAGATGAGCAAGCGCGGGCGAAGGGGAAATGGCGCTGCGCAGCTTTGGGAGCTAGCCCAGGCTGGGCCTAGGCTGGGCCCTTGGGCGTTCGATGGAGCGCAGAAGTGTGATGGGGCAGGCCCGTCTTCTACATCATGGGCGGCGTGGCAGCAGCTCCTGCGGGACCTCGATCAAGTTCCCTGGAGGGCCAGGTTGGGAATTTCAGCATCGAGGGGGCTGCAATAGCGGGCGGGTCGCGGAACCGTTCAGTTTCAGCCTCCGCGGCCGAGCTCAAGTCTTGGATTGCAGACAAATCCACCACAGGAGCTATGCTCAGGGCGCCCAAGAAGGCACCGCAGCCGGCAGACCACGTAGACTTGGGCGGCCAGATGTTGCATCGTCCATGTGACTTGGTCGATCACCGAGCGGCCCATTGGCATGAGCTGTGGACTCCCCAAGAGATCAAGAGCAGGTGCGAGGTTCGGGGCATCTTCGGCTGCGTCCACAGCCACGCGCTCATGGGGCCCTTGGCCTCCCTGGACGCGGACGACCTCCGCCGTGCGCTTCGCGCCGTGAAGGCGCGGGCGGTTGCCACCGCTCGACTTGGAGCGCTAACCCGACGAAAAATTGGCTGAGTCGGCACAATTGTTCAACATGTTCGAGGAGCGCCACACTTGGAGGGCACGGTCGATGGCTCGAGAACCGATTGTCCAAGCATGGCCCCATGCTGACGCCCCAGCCTGGGACGCGGCGGCCAGAGGGAATTCGTCGCTCAAAGAGGCTTTCATGAGAGCCTTGGACGACGAGCTCTACACCAGGCTCAAGGTGTCGAACGGCCACGCCCTGGCCGACATCCAGAGCTTCTACGACATGGTGCAGCGGGGTACCTTGGTCAAGGGTGCCTTCAGATATGGACTTCCAGCTGCGATGCTGGGCTTAGAACTGCAGATCTGCGCTGCTCAGAGGATGCTGGATCAAGGCGACGCGGTGTCGCTGCCCTTCCAGGCCACGAGGAGCCTCACACAGGGCTTGCGCTCTGGCACGCGCTTCGCGCATTGTGTCACCAGCCTTGTCATGGAGCGCCAGGCTGTGGCCCACCCAGCATTGTCGGAGCTTTTGTGGGTCGACGATTTGCTTCAGACGGTGGTTGAACCGAGTCAGTGCGTTCGCGAATCCCTCATCGAGAGGGTGGCAGCGGTTCGTGCCATGCTCGAGGATGTAGGTTTGCAGTTGGCACCCAAGGGCGCCGTCACGTGCTCGCCCATGCAGGGCGCCAAGGCCATTGTGCATGAGTTGCTTCGCCGTGAAGTGAGGGTGCCATGCGCCCAATTGTTGACCTACTTCGGCTTAGGTGCCGGCATGAGCTGCGGGGGGCGCTCGGCTAGGGCCACGCGGGTCAAGCGCATGATAAACACCAAGGGGCAGCAAACCACGTTGAGGAGGCATGATAGCGCGCCGCGCAAATTTCGAGTGACGAAGAAGATCGAGATGGCATGCCCCCAAGCGGGGGCACGCTATGGGCATCAAGTTCTCTGGTAGCCTACCGCCACGTTGCTGGACCTACGGCGGCAACTGGGCGCGGTTTCAGGGCATCGCCGAGGACGTTGCTTGACGACGCTACTGGGCCTGAGGGCACCTGGGGCCGGTACGCCCTCCCGTGGCACTGTCTGGCGCAATGGATCCGATGTTGGTTGGAGTTTCCACGCATCCGAGGTCCCATCTCTCGGGCGTGGGCATCCGCTGCGCAGCAGTTACCCGATCTCCCCCCCCAGCATAGGTGGCGCCGCGTGCGGGGGCCACCCGCAGCTGTCATCAACATCTTGGTCAGCGCAGGACGGGATATGCCGCGGGCAGCCACCTGGTTCCCACCTTGCGAGGTTGGTGCAACGGAGTACGGGCGGCGCTGTGAATCTGATGAGTTCCGCGCGTTCGACCAGGCGCGGAATCTGATTGACAGGTTCGCCCAGTCGTTGCAGGACCGCCTCTGGAGGGAAGCTGCTCGTTCATCCCGCTGCGGAGGTGGAATGGAGAACGGCATCGGCAATTTCAGTTTGCGACGGTCTCTTTACCAGCTTGAGTGCATCCCTGGGCATGAGCGCCAACTCAGCGAACTTCGATGACGATCGCTGCTGGAGGATCTTGGGCGGATGACAGGAAAACGGGCGTTGGCTTCGAGGCCCCTGGTATATGTGGGAGATGCGGCAAGGCGCTGGCGACTCCCCTTCAGCCGCGTGTGGGAGTGCGAGTGCAATCGCGATTCACTTGTTTTCGTTGCCTATGAAAAGCTCGTTGCCCAGGCCATTGCCCAGGCTAGTAGTTGTGAGCGCTACTGGCCCAGGGAGCTCATTCCCAGCGCCATGATTGATTCCGACATCCCGTCTGGCCACAATTTTTGGGTCAGGGGCCATCTGGATGATGAGCGCCTGGGCCCTTACTTCAGAGTAAGAACGCTTCTCCTCCCTCTCCTCCTCTTCAGTGTCTCGTCTGGGGGCAAAGATGCCCATGGCCCCGGGCTCCGACGAGTTGGGGCGGCAGTGTCTAGCAGCCCAGAGCAGGCCCGAGAGACGGGCGCCAGGTTGATATATGGCCCACTGCCTGGTCGGCACCAGTTCACCCCCAGGAGTGAGCTGCTTTGTTTAGTTTGTGCTGTGGCCCTGTCCAGGGGCCCGGTGGCTCTTGCCTCGGGCAACGAAGAAGTTTGTCGCAGCGTTTGGGCTAATCTGTTCCTGGCCCCGAGGGGGAGAAACACCGACTTGCGGCGGAAGCTTGGAGAAGTCACTCAGGTGACGGATCGTCATCCTGGTGACCTTGCAGCGCTTCAAGTCCCCTCCCACTTTGGAGGCCGAGGAAGGAGTTGCCCGCGACCTGTCAGGGCCCTTCGTTGCAGGCAGTGTGTTCTTGGACCACTTGGCAGGGATTGCTGCTAAGGTTTTCAGCGCCCCGTGCGCTCTGCGTACCTTTTGCTCTAGGTCGAGGCCGATGTCAGGTTGACCAGGGAACGATAATTCAGGACCACGTTGGAGGCGATCCAGGTTGAGTGGGAAATGCAACGGCGCCCTGCTGCTGCCGCTGCTGCCCCCCTCCGTCCCCCGTGGCCGCGGTTCTATTCAGTTCCCAGCATGTCCTGCTTGAGTGCGGGAAGAAAGTTCCCATGTGCGTGAGTTCTGCTTCGGAAGCGGGTGGAGCTAAATGCCCCCCCGCATGTTGTTTCGACCTTTTCAATGTGCCGACTGTGATTTCCGAATTGCCTCTGGGTCATATAATACATATCGCTGGGGGCGTGGCCCGCGTTTCCCATATTATGTTTGATCATAGCGACCTTTTTTTTTGCAAAGCCTGTGGATGTTCTGGCCACCAAGAATTGCGTGGCCTGGCTGATTTATGTCCTGCCCGCAAGCCCCCCCCCCGTCCCGATCACCAGGACTCGGCGGGTGCATCTGGACCGAATGTCCAGGAACCTTTGGCCCAAAGTTTTAAGCAAGGCTGAGAAGGCGGCTCGTGGGTCCGAATACACATATAACGGCGCACCTGGTCCGGGGGCCCGGGGCCGGGACCACGACCGCAAATGTGGGGACCGGGGGCTCTGGAGGTTCGTCGGGGCTTGCCGGAGGCCTCCCCGGTCAGACATGACGGCCCCAGGAACGCCCAAGACGGCCCAAGAAACTTCCAAGCGGCCTCCAAGAGGGCTCCGAGATGCTGAAGATGGCCTCCAGACGTCCAAGGACGCCCCCAAGAGGCCCCAAGAAGCCTCCAACGTGCGTCCCAAGAGGGCCCCTAGACGCAACAATTGGCCCATTCCCTTCGTAAACCGTACATTTTCAACAAAGTTCTCTTTTGGGCTTTCCGACGTTACAGGACGGCCCAAGAGGCGCCCAAGACCGCCCCAAGACGGCCCAAGAAGCTTCCAAGAGGGCCCCAGGACAGCCCAAGAGGGCCCCAAGACGGCCCAAGAGGCGCCCAAGATGGCCCAAGAGGGCCCCAAGACGGGCCCAAGAGGGGGCCCAGAGGGGGACCACGAACCGCAAGCTCGAGCCTTCCGCCCCAAGAGGCCGCCAGGAGGCCCCCAGGAGGCCCCTCAAGAGGCCCCAGGAGACCCCAGACGTCCAAGGACGCCCCCAAGACGCCCCAAGAAGCCTCCAACATGCGTCCCAAGAGGGCCCCTAGACGCAAAAATTGGCCCATTCCCTTCGTAAAACGTACATTTTCAACAAAGTCGCCTTTTGGGCTTTCCGACGTTACAGGACGGCCCAAGAGGCGCCCAAGACCGCCCCAAGACGGCCCAAGAAGCTTCCAAGAGGGCCCCAGGACAGCCCAAGAGGGCCCCAAGACGGCCCAAGAGGCGCCCAAGATGGCCCAAGAGGGCCCCAAGACGGGCCCAAGAGGGGGCCTAGAGGGGGACCACGAACCGCAAGCTCGAGCCTTCCGCCCCAAGAGGCCGCCAGGAGGCCCCAAGGAGGCCCCTCAAGAGGCCCCATGAGACCCCAGACGTCCAAGGACGCCCCCACGACGCTTCGCGTCACCAATTTCTTCTCACAACGATTCCTGGGTCTGTGACTCGATAGAACCTAAGCGCGCGCGAAGCGCGCGCGTGGTTCTAGTGTATCATATAGGCTCGCTTCGCGATTGGCCTCATGATTATGATTATTATCATTAATATTAATATTATTATCATTAGTATTAGTATTATTATTATTATTATTATCATTATTATTATTGTTATTATTATATTATTATTATGATTATTATTATTATGATTATTATTATGATTATTATTATTAGTAGTATTATTATTATTATTCCTCCCTTCCCTCATTCCCCCCCCCCTTCCCTCCCTTGCCCCCCCTGTTGCCCCCCCCCCCCCCTTCCTCCGCAATGTGAATACCAGTCTCCCCTCTCCCCTGATAACGTCCGAAAGATATCCGCCCCCCCCCGCTGCGTATTTTTTTTACACAGGATCCCCGGGGAATGGGATTTCGTTTTTTGCCAAGAATGCTGCTCCAGCGGAAGCGCTGGCCCCATTTGTCACTTCAGGTTGTTCCAAATCGCGTTCCCACTGCAGCGCGGGCGTGTTCGGCCATTCCAGAGAGGCCACGGAATTTAGAAAATGCCCCCGACAAAATCACCGGAAATGATTACTCATTCGGTGTCGATTCGTTGACGTTTGGGGTCGCAAAGGCCCCCCCCACTTTGGGGCGTCGTCGCTTTCAGGAAATATTAAGCGGGAGCCCCGTCTCTGCTTTGAGAAGGAGATGTTGAGAACAGAGCCAGCGGGTGCTCCATCAGCCCCTCCTTGTGTGGAGCTTTTCTGGGAACCCAAAAAGCCAGACGGGAACCACGATTATAGACCAGCCCAGACCTCTCGAAGACGACCAAGTTACCCTCCAAGGAACCCGGCGCCATGCCATGACATGCTGTGCGGTGCTCTGTTGTGCGCCGCTGTGCGATGCCATGCCTTGCTTTGCAATGATTTGTGATGCAATGCTTCGCTGCGCAATGCCACGCCATGCTATGGCATGCTTCGCTCTGTCGTGCTCTTCTACGCCATGCATCGCGCACCCTCTCGCGATCGTCGCCCTGCTCGACATCCGATTGTGCGAGTAGAGAAGAGATCTACGCCATGGTAAGGGGTGGGAGGGAGGGGTAGGACTTCAGATATGACGCGAGCGCACCGAGCATGCCTCCATCCCCTCCCTTCCCTCCTTCCTGCCCCCTTCCATCCCTCCCCTTCCATTCCTTCCCTCCCCTTCCCTCCCCTCCCTTCCCTCCTGTTCCCCTTCACTCCCTCCCTTCCCTCCTGCCCCCCTTTCCCTCCATTCCCTCCCTCCCTCCCTTCCCTCCCTTCTCCTCCCTCCCTTCCCTCCTACCCCCTTCCCTCCCTCCCCCCGTCATTCCCTTCCCTGCCCCCCTTCCTCCCTCCCTTCCCACCTGCCCCCCTTCCCTCCTCGTCCTCCCTTCCATCCCCCTCCCCGTTCCGTCCCCCTCTCCCCCTTCCCCTCTCCCCTTCCATCTTGCCCCCCTCTCCCCCTTCCTTTCGCCGCGTGCAAACAACGGAACTGGGAAGACATAGCTGGACTGCTCGGAGTCAGCGGCAACTTCGGAGATCAAATTTGGTCGCCCAGGGCAGGCTTGCGAGCAGGGGCGGTCTTGTTATCGCCGCGGACCGCGGGTATTTGCGTCGAACATTTGGAAGTCTAGCCTGTAGAGAATGCTGTGGAAAGCTCCAGCTCCCTCTATTGGGATCAGCGCGGGGGTTGCTAAGGGTGTAGGGGGGTGGATTGAGGATGCCAGAGTGGGTCATACCCGCCGGCCGAACCTAGCTGTGAAGTGGGTTGCAAGTGCCCCAAGTGGATGGGTGGGGTCAACAGTCCGTGCTAAGTGGTTTCCGCCCATTCAGCGGAGTCATCCAACCACCCCAAACCACTCAGGGCATGTCCGACCCACTTACAAGCTAAGTCTTTCCAGACAGAACTGACCTTGGCATCCCATGTTGCTCCCCTTACCCTTTCAGCAACACCCGCGGTGATCCGAGTGTGCACAACTCGACCGTCCCTCCAGGTGCTGCGGCGGGCGCGGGCAAAGGCGCCCATGCCCGCGCCGGCGCCCCGGGCGCCGTGATCGGCAGGGAGCCCTTCCCAGCCGCCAGCGGGGAGGGCCAGCGCCCATCGAGGGGCGGGATTCGAGGGGTGCTCAGATCACCGCGGGGCTCGCTGAGGGGACGGGGTGGTCAGAAGTGGTGACTGGTGTGGGTCATGGTTGCAATCGGGGGCGGCCAAGGGGGAGGTGATGATGAGGGTGGTGGTGGATATCATGGCTGGGGCCATGATACCTCCCCTGTTTGTATGGCCACACATCCTATTTGGCGTCGCGTAATGGGGGGGGCAAATTGGGGGGCAGCGAGGGCTGCCGAAAAGGGGCCTCTGAGGGCCCCTAAAGGAGCCATTGAGGGCCCAGAAGGGGGCCGCTAGGGCCCGAGAAGTGCACATTTCTCCCCCCCCCCTCTATGTATCACCCCCGAGTAAACGACGCCCAATCCTATTTCAGTGCGTCCACTCGTCCCTCCCCCGTCCGAGCACATGCCTCTGGCCATGATTTGCGACCCCTTCTTTGGACACACCCGATGCAAGTGTGGGTCGCAGGGGGGGGGAATCTGGGCGAACTGGGCTCCGCCGACTTGGCAGAGGTCACCCTGACCCCTTTAGGGCACGTGCATCCCACTTATAGGCTAGGTTCGACCAGACATTACCCACCGCAGCATCTACTTACAGTCCTGCTATCCTCGATCCTCTTAGCCACCCCCGCGGTGACCCACGTGAAGGATGACCGGGCCAGACGAACCCAGAATTCCTCTCGTTCTGGAACGTGCGAGACGACGGTTTTCACAGTTTTCGACCTCTGGTGAGCCCTCGCCGGGCCCTGGAGCCACCAAATAACGAGTCGGAACGCACATCTGGCCCTGTGAGAAAGGCTGGGATTTCTGCGAATCCCGTGTTGAACTGATCAAGAAATCAGATCTCTGGGAAGGGGGGGGTAGGGAAGCGAGGCAACATCTATTGCGTGCAGCTGGTTTCGGTCCCGCCGCCGAGCGTTTTCCTCTATGCATGAATTGGCGCCACTGGCGCCGAGGGGCGCCACAAAGGCCAGCTACGTGAGCTGATTCGCAAACGGCTCTTTGCTATCCCCTCGTTCGTCCGTTCCGAGAGGAGGAGTAGGATGATGATGATGATGATGATGATGATGATGATGATGATGATGATGATGATTATGATGATGATGATGTTGATGATGATGGTGATGATACTGATTGTGATGATGACTATGATCATGATGCTGATGCTGATGATGATAGCTATGGAAGTAATAATAATAATAATAATACTAATAATAATAATGATGGCGCTGATAACGAAGATGAAGATGGATATGATGATGCTGTTGGTGCTGATGATGATGGTGATTCGTAGGAGGATGATGATGATGATGATGATGATGATGATGATGATGATGATGATGATGGTAGTGGTGGTGGTGATGATAATGATGATGTCGGTGATGATGATGATGATGATGATGATGATGATGATGATGATGATGCTGATGCTGATGATCCTAATGGTGGTGATGGTGACGATGATTGTGATGGTGATGATGATGTTGGCTGTGGTGGTGATGGTGATGATGATGGCGGTGATGATGATGATGATGATGATGATGATAAGATGATGATGCTGATGATGACGGGAGTGATGATGATGCTGATGATGATGTTGTTGATATTGGTGATGTTGATGACGAGGAGTTTGTATATGATGATGATGATGTTGATGATGATGCTGATGCTGATGCTGATGATGATGCTGACGATGTTGATGACGATGACGATGACGACGATGGTTATGATGATGATGATGATGGTTGTGATGATGCCCGTGCTGATGATAATGATGCTGCTCATAATGATGATGATGCTGATGAGCGTGATGGTGTTATGATGATGGCGATGAGGATGATGATGGTGATGAGGAGGAGGAGGAAGAGGAGGAGGAAGAGGAGGAGGAGGAAGCATCACGTGCCTCCTCTTTTCTTGTTCCTATTCGTCTTCCTGATGTATCCCATTATCGTGTTGTGGGGGCCCTCGCTCTGGAGAGACGCCGTCCTCCCATCCCTGCCTCTGCCATCCGCATATCAAGCATTTCGACTCCATTTCCCCGCACCTTTCACACGTTTGGTGGCCAAGTAGGGGGATCCACCGAAGGCCCAAGTGACACAGTCCACATGCGCCCCCCCACCCAGTGTCTGCACTCCTCACACGATTCGTGTCCCCATAAGGAGCTGCACTGAAGGCCCCAGTTGCACAGTCCACATGCGCCCGCCCGCCCCATGTCGGCACGCCCCTCACACGGCTCGTGCCCATAAAGGGAGCCTCACCGAAGGCCCCAGTGGCACAGTCCACGTTCGCCAACCCCGTCCCATGTCGGCAAACCCCTCACACGTTTCGTAGCTCCACAGGGAGCTCCACCGACGGCCCCAGCGGCAAAGTCCACATGCGTCCCCACGCCCCACTCCAGCTCACTCTTCACACGCTTCGTGCCCCCATAGAGAGCCCTACCGAAGGCCACAGTGGTACAGTCCACATGCGTCCCCCCGCCCCATTTCACCGAAGGCCCCAGTGACACAGTCCACATGCGCCCCCTCGTCCCATTTTGGCACGCCCGTCACACGCTTCGTGCTCTACAGGGAGCTCCACCGAAGGCTCCAGTGGCACAGTCCACATGCGCCCCGCAGTCCCATGTCGGCACGCTCCTCAGACGATTCGTGGCCCCACAGGGAGCCCCACCGAAGGTCTCAGTGGCCATGTTCGCGTGCGGCCGCCCCACCCATGCCGGCGCGCCCCTCACACGCTTCCTGGCCCCATAGGGAGCTGCACCAAAGGCCCCATCAGCACAGTCCACATGCGTCTGCATGCCGACACACCCCTCGCATTTTTTCGTGGCCCCATGGGGAGCTCCACCGAAGGTCCCTGGCCGCCCCAGTACTGACCTGGGTAAGGGCAGGAATTTGACATCTCTCTCTCTCTCTCTTGTTCTGCTCGGGGAGCTTGCGTTTAGTGAACTGAGGACGAGGACGACGACGTCGACGAAAAGGAAGAGGAAGGTAGCCGGGCAGGTAAGGTGGGGGAGACAGGAGAGAGGAAAGGCTGAACTCATGCCCTTCCGCCCGCCATTTCCCCCCCCGCCCCCTCCTTTCTATCTCTCCACCCCCCTCTCCCCCTCCTCCTCCTCCTCCTCCTCCTCCTCCTCCTTCTCCTCCTCCTCGTCCTCCTCAAGTCCGTCCCCTCCGTGGGATCTCGGACTTGGGCCGAAATGGGTCCCACAGCTGTTTCGCCCAAGGCCCCCTGGCCGAGCGCAGCGCCGCCCGCGTCTGACGGCGTCCATCCATATCTACGCAATGGCTGGGGCTGCTGAGCCTCCTGCCGCTGCTGTGCGCAGTCGCCATGCCGCACACGCGATCCCTGGCGGCCTCGTACATCCGCACCTGCCGAGGGCTGCAGCGTGATCGCGCTCGCCCACGCGGAGCAGCATGCCGCCACGTCCTTCGTCTTCATATTCTCGTCCCTGGCGCCGCTGTGGCACGCCCGGCTAATGGCGATCCCGTCCACGCCGAGCTAGCACACCAGCGTCACATGCCGAACGAGCTGCTCCCGCTCTACCGGCTGGGCGTCTGCGGCAGCCACGAGCTCCAAGAGGTCGCGAACTTCATCCAGCGGCGTCGTGTGCCTGCTGGGCTTCATGATGGTGCTGGACCTCCGCGCCCTGCGGTGCCTGTACGGGCAGTCCTACGACACGGAGCTGGCCCTCTTCCTCCGCCTGCACGTCAAGCTCACCATGCCGCTGAGCCCGATGCCGAATGTGTCGCTGACGATCTTCTGCATGACCCACGCCACGTTCCTGGAGCTGCCCTTGGCCGTTGTCCCTGTGGCGATGCCGCGCCTGAAGCACTACGCAATAGTGCTGGACCGCTTCCACAACACGTTCTTCAACATGGAGCTGGGCCTCTTCCTCGGCGTGGCTCTGGCGCTCCTGGACCTGCATTGCATGCCACTGCCGCCGGTGGTGTCCGTCCTCGTGACGCTGGTGATGCTCTCGATGCTCTTCGGCCCTTTGTGCATGCCGGTGCCGCTGGTAGCGCCCGTCTTCGTGATGTGCCTGTCCTGCGTGCCGCTGCCGTTGGTGGCGCCCGTCCTCGCGATGCTGGCGATGCCCTCGCTGCTCTCCGCCCCCTTGTCCGCGAATGGCATCACGGCGCAAGACGCTACTCCAGAACAGGCCGTTCATCGGCTGCTTCGACGCGTGGTTCGACCTTGTGTTCGACGCCCCCTTGTCCTCGGAGTGCGACCAGGCCGTCGAGGATACCGCTGCACATGATGATGCTGCCGCTGGTGGCGAACCAGTCCGCGACGACGCCGCCGAGCGTGGCGAACAACCTGCTCTCGCAGCACATCCTGTCCATCGTCCTGCCGATCCTGATGCTGCCGCGCGCGGCGCTCGACCCCTACCCGATGCACATGCCGATGCTGCCGCTGGTGGTGTACCAGGGCACGATGGCGCTGCCGCTGGTGCCGAACGGCTTGTTATCGTAGTATTTTTTGGCCTTCGCCCTGTCGATTATGATGCTGCCGCGCGTGGCGCCCGACCCCTACATGTTGAATAGAATGGTGCTGCCAATGGTGGCGAAAAAGTGCGCGATGACGCTGACGACGCCCCTGTTGCTGCCGCTGTCCTTCCCGATGGAACCCAGCATGACTGGGCATCTCCTGGCATGCCGTTCCTTCGACGCTCGGACCTTCTGCAGCTACACTGCTGCAGTACGACTCTCGCTTGCCGTGTAGATAAATTGGTGCGCCGAGCTGCTGAGCCTCATCCTGAAGCGCCACAGGGGCGCTCGAGTGCATGATGTTGCCGCTGGCGCTGCCGTTGCTGTCACACGACGCCAACACGAAGCCCATCCTCCCGCAGCCGCAGGTGATGACGACCACGAGCGGGGAAACTGCTGGGACTACGAGCGCAAGGAATGGCACGGAGCGGCTGACGCTACCCATCCCACACAACCCGAAGAAGATCTGCATGATGCTGCACGCGGTGTTCTGCCGCCTGGGGTGGCTGCCGCTGCTCATGAGGCCCCTGAGGTCACCGGCCAATGTATCATTGAGCCTTCCGCCTGGCTCACCCCACCCCTTTCCGTCCTGTCTTAACTGCCACCCATCCCTGCTTTTCCCGCTCCCCAGTATGATCCTCACGGTTTACATTCCGCTCCCAGTGCATGGCCCCATGCTCCCTGCAGCATGCGCGTGGCCAGAGCGAAAAACGCCGCCAAAAGCACCGCTCTGGAAGTAGGCTGAGCCGCGGCGGGGCGCGAGCAGACATCTTGCCCTCGTCTCGCGTCTTGCCCGCTTGCCCACGTCTCTTCCTCTTTGAGTGCGTGCACTCCTCCTCCTCCTCCTCCTCCTCCTCCTCCTCCTCCTCCTCCTCCTCCTCCTCCTCCTCCTCCTCTCGTCCTCCCTCCTCCTCTTACTCCTCCTCCTCCTCCTCCTCCTCCTCCTCCTCCTCCTCCTCCTGATGCTCCTCCTCCTCCTCCCCTCCTCCTCCTCCTCCTCCTCCTCCTCCTCCTCCTCCTCCTCCTCTCCTCCTCCTTCGCCTCCTCCTCCCTCCTCCTCCTCCTCCTCCTAGCCATTCTGGGTCTGGCACCTGCCGCCTCAGGGGCTGCTGGGCCGCGCGCGCGGCCCGCCCTCAACTTCCCCTCCCTCCCTCCCTGCGCGCAGTTCTCGGCTTCCCCCTCGCTGTCGCCATTGTCAGCGCATCGCGGCTGGCCTGGATTGCGAGACAGCTTTCCGCCGGGCGGCAATGTCGCGTCCGCCTTAACTAGCGCGTGGTTCGCCTCGTGGTCCACATGGTGCTGCTGCCCGCCAAAGACGACAGGATGCTCAGTAAGATCGCTTTCGCTGGGGTCAACATGATGCACAACTCTCTTCACCCTGCCTGCGTCGTAGACCACGGCCATGGGAGTTCGACTGGCGAGGCGCACATCGCTTTCAACATGAAGCGGCTGCACCTTCACACTCCTGCTGCTGAAGGTGCTTTGCTCCCTGGCGTATTTCATGGTGTTGCCCTACATTGTGAAACACCTGGTAATCCGGAACCTGGCGGAGAGGGTCTTCATGGTGGGGCGCCGTCTGGAGTTCGTCCTGGCGATGCGAAACAGCATGGTGAAGATCGCGCTGGCCGTCCTGGCAGTGGTCGCGCTGGCCTTCTCCGAGTCGCTCGCGGTGTTCCTCACGAAGGTGTTCATGCTGATGAGCATGGTGGTGACGATGGTAGTGCCACACTTTCTCGTGAAGTTGCGGGTCGTGGTGACCTTCTGGGTAATGCAGGAGGTGTTAAAGATCGTGCCGCTCTTGCTGACGCTCTGCCTCCTCAGCGTGGCGCTGATCCATGGCATGCCGGCGCGAGCGACCCATGGTCTGCGGCCGTGCCTCCGCGCAAAGACCTTTGGCGAGATAAAGTGGCCCGTCCAACGTCCAACATGCTGAGCTCAGCGGACCTCGCTGCCATCGCGGCTCTGCTTGTTGGCCACGGTTCCGATCGTGATGAGCATGCCGATCGGCAGCCTGCGCCCTCCGTTGATGATCCTCGCGGAGAAGAGCATGACGCACAACGTGGTGGCGATCGCCTCCCTCTGGGAGACGGTCCTGCTGGCATCCAAGCTGGGCCACTCATCGAGTTGGACCAAGCCGACCTCGACGATATCGCTGCCATGATCGACGCGAACTTCGAGGGACTCAACGGTTCGATGACGGAACTGGAGAGTACCCTGAGTGCCGCCGCCGCCCCCGCCGCCTCCTCTTCCTCCGCCCTGCCTGCCGAACACGACACATCGGAAGTGTGCGTTCCTCCTCCTCCTCCTCCACTTCCTCCTCCTATTGATCCTCCGCCTCCATTCCTTATAACTAATTTTGCCCTGTCGCACCGCGAGGACAGTTTTTACGGCGGTGAGGCTTTTCGCCTGGGACTTCCTCATCACTGATGACCCTGAAGCTTAAACGCGACAACAGTTTCACATATGAAATGCGGGTCGTTTTCATAATGTAGCTCTCGCCTTAGCGCCGCACGTAAACGTTTTACCAAATTGTACGAGATTCACAGCTTGAGGGCGGTTCCTTTTTCAAAATGCGTCTCTCGCTTTAGCGCCGCGCACATTCGTTTCTAACAGTTGCAAGAGTTTCACGGGTTCCCACGATCATCTCACAGGAATTGGTGTTTTGGAAGGATCCAGGATCTATGAGGGCGCAACAGTTACGTTGATTCGCGGTGCCGAAGTCCCAGGATTGGCGTTCTGGTACGACTCACAATCGCAGGGACGCAACAGTCAGGTTGATCCGTGGCATTGCAATCCCGACAACAATGTTTTGGTATGATTCAGGGTTCTCCAACGGTTGCTCTCCCACGCAGCAGTTCTTTGTGGAAGTGAACCGTTGTAGGAGCCTATGACGACCGAGCTTGGACGTTGGGTTTACCCCAACATCGTTGATGAGTCTTGGGTTTTCACTGGTCATCCCCCTCCCCCTCTTCCATCAGGCTGGAGGGAGGGAGGGGGAAAGGAGGGAGGGAGGGAGTAGAAAAAGGAGGAAGAAGAGGGGGAGGAGGAGGAGGAGGAGGAAGGCGGAAAGAACGCGGGGCGCCTTCACCGCAGGAGCGGCCTTCGCCTGGGCTGGCTGACCCCCCAGCCGCGCCGAAGCAGGACCCCCTGGCCGCCCGACTGGGCGGCGTGCAGCGCAAGGGATTTGAGGAGAACCGTTTGGATGGCAACGGGGGGGGAATAAACGTCGGGGATCGAGATTGCAACACAGTGGTCCTAAATCAGGGGCAGCGTTAAAGGGGGGAGGATGAGCGCAGAATGAGACGCATCGACCCCCAATCGCCCATTTATCGCCGATAGAGGGCCAATAACCCATCCCGCCCAGGAACGTCTGGATGCGGTATTGAGGGCCCATCGCCCATGGATCGGCGATGTATCGAAGATTCTAGGCCGATGTTTCCCTCCCTGAACGGGTCCCCCGTTACCGCTCTTGCCAGGAAGGGGTCCGAAATGGCGTCTTGACTGCCACCGTGGGCCCACAAGGTGAGCGAAAAGTGTACGTTTCGTCGCTCCAGCGTTTGTTGCCCTCCCCCTGACGAGCGCCCGAGGAGGTGGAGGGGGGAGGAGGCGGTTGAGGAGGGTGTGAAGGAGGTGGAGGAGGGGGAAGAGTTGAACGACCAGTGCGAACCCAAGACTCATCAACGATGTTGGAATACACCCTCCCTCCAAGTTCCCTGTTTATAGGCCCCTACACGGACTCATTTTCACTGAAGAAAGTGCCCCGTTGGAAGACACTTGTTTGAAGTTTCTGAAGCGTGCCGAATACCATTCTTCAACGACACGAAGCAACCTGACTGCTGCGTCTTGACAAGTCTGAATCGTGCCACAACACCCTCCCAGGGACTTCAACACCGCGACTCAATGTGACTGATGCGCCCTGACAACCCTGAATCGCTCAAAAACGCCATTTCTGGTACGTTAACCATGGGACCCCGTGAACCCGTGCAATGTGTTTTAAAAGAGTGTGCGAGGCGCGAAGGCGAGAGCCACATTTAGAAAGGAACCGCCTTCAATCCGTGAAACTCTTGCACATGAGAAAACAAATGCCCGCGGCGTGAACACGAGAGCCAAATGTTGAAAACAGCCCGCCTTCTATCCATGGAAATCTTGCAATGTGTTAAGACGAGTGTGCGAGGCGCTAATGCGAGAGTCACATGTTGAAAACCACCCGCCCTCAATCCGTGAAGCTCTTGCAACTAAAACGAAAGTACGCGGCGCTGAGGCGAGAACCGCATTTGGAAAACGGCCCGCCCTCAATCCGTGAAGCTCGTGCAAATGTTGTAGACGAGTGTGCGCGGCGTTAAGGCGAGAGCCACATTTTGGAAGTGGCCCGCCTTCCATATATGAAGCTGTTGCTTGTAAGTTTCTGGATCATAGCTGGTACGGAGTTCTCAGGTCAGGCGAAACGCCCGGCCCGCCCTTCCGACCGGCCTCGGGGTACGACAGGGATGGGTTAGATATAAGGAAGAGGAGGACGAGGAGGAGGAGGTTGAGGAGGAGGTGGAGGAGGAGGCGGAGGAGGAGGAGTTCTAGGCCGAGGGTCGAGGATCGAGGAGGATAGAGGGTCGAGGTTTTCGGGCGCTTGCTGGGCCTTCTGGGTTGCACTCTCGCTTCCACGGGTGGAAACCTTCCGTTTCTCTTGTCGAGACGCACACCGACGTCAGGTGTCCGCGGGACAATTTTTGAGGCAAGGCGTCGAGGAACAACCACAACATCGCGAAGGGGGCGAAGGATGGAGATATGGAGGGACGAGAGGAGGGGCAGGAGGAGGAGCCCGAGGGACGCAGACCCCCTCTTGTCGTGGAAAAGTACTGCGGAATGTGTTCACCAAGCTTCAGCCTCTGGGGGGCACTGCCGGGCCCTGGGGCCTTTCAGAGACCGGTCCTGGGGAAGGGGACGAGACTTCGGGAGCCCACGCAGTGAAAGAATTACGGCGTCGGGAGTCTGAGAGCAGGGCTGGAGGAGGTGGATGAGCCATATGTTTTGTTTCGTGGCTTGCTTCCTGGAGCCTCCCGAGACACCCAAGGAAATCTCTGGAGACCTCCAGAGCGTCCGTGGCATCCGGGGACCTCTGGAGGGGACCGCCCAAACGAGGCCGCAGCAGACGGGATCGGAGGATCGGGACGCATCGCCGATGCATGAGCGAAGCGGCGGGATGCGCTGGAGGACATGCGGCGCTCTACTCGTTTCTTGGGTTCTAGCATTTACCTGCGTCAGGCTTTGTGCTCTTCGCTGGTTGGCGGCAGATGCTCGCCAATTCTTTCTGACCAGGCGAGTCATTCAAGCACTCCCGACATGGCACTAAGTACTGCCGGCCCTCTGGTACGTAGGCACGATGTGCCACGACCGACTGCTCGTGATTTCCACTCTTCTGCATCGAGGCGTACGACCAGCAAGTCGCTCGCAGCGCGTCTTGGCCGCTTCCCTCCGCGCGCGGCATGCTCGTCTCGAGCACCGCGCGCGGGCCGGCGCCGACGAGGCCAGACGCTGGGTCTGGCGAGGGGCGTCCGAGGCGGGGCACTCCACCGACCGCCGTGCCTCTCACGACGCCCCCAGGCCTCCCAGCGGGAGTGCGGACTCGGGTGGCCACCGGGGGAAAGTGCCGCGGGAAGGCGGCGTGCCTGCGGACCGCCCACCCTCAGCGGGATCAGTCACACCTCCGAGGGAGAAGTCTCCGCTGCTGCTCTGGGACCCGACGGCC